TTCCACTATCTTTCACATTTAAATAAAAAACTATTCCTGGAACTGAACTGTAAAATACAAATCTGAGGAAGATGTTTGAGATTGTTAAACTAGTGTGTATAAGTTGCATTCACAATTATTATCACATGTTTTTAAGTCCAATGGTTTGGAATGAGCTGGGATCAAACACCTGAGGTTGTCAGATGACTCTGCCTTGTAGCTATTTTTAGACAGTAATTGCTCTTTTGTTACAGCCTGGTAAACAAAAGATGAATCCAGAGCGATTATCTGGTTATGACTCTCAGCGGGAGCGCAGCCTCCAGCCTTTTCCTTTCACAGCAACAGCGGATCAGGCACATGTAGTCGCCGCTACCATGTCATTAATGAACCTCCCAATTATTTCACTAAGCTGACAGCATCCCAATGTTTGATCGATGGCAGACTCTTTTGACCTATTGATGTACTCAGTCAGTATCCAGTGAACACACGAGCAGAGGACCGTTATGCTTCCTCCCTCCAGGGACCATGTGACCACAGATAGAGATCATCAAACAGGAAACCTCTTTTGTGCTGCCCTGAGCTCAGGCAGCCAGTACACAGGCATGTTGGAGATTATCCTGTTGATCTAGAGTAGCCTAAACATCGAATGTAATGATGTCTTGTCAAAACAAACAACCACTTTAGCCATCTTTTTAGGAAGGGCAATCATTTCCCGAACGCTCATTACCCTAAACAGGACAACAATTCACTTATTTTTATCATGAATCCCTCTCTTTTCACTACGAGAAACATTCCTTTCTCACACACAGACCTGTGTTATATTTTCATACAGAGCTTCTGTCCAGTTTTTACTGCCTGCAGGCTGCTTCTAGTTTATGACCAACGGTTCTTTCACATGGTAGTCTTATTGACATTTGAAGCACGCACATGCCATTGCCATTTCTGGAACGTGAGCACGTTGGTGGGTGTTTGCCTTCCAACTTCAACATCTGCTGTAGCTAACTGTGAGCAAATACATTTATAAAAGAAGGACAGGGTGAATCCTTCTTTGTGTCAACTTGAAATGGATTTGTGTCTCAGGAGATGTCTCATCACACCCAGTCTGTTTTCTGAGCCTATGACCAGCAACAGTGCTCAGCTTTCTTCACAACTCCCCCCTTTCTGCTCTGACCTCAGCCAGCTCATCAACAGGGGTCTCTTTTATCTCTCAGGAAAACAGGTGGTTCCGATTGTTAGTCAGTGTGCATACGATGAGGACATTTCTGCCTCCATGTGTTTTCTATTTGGAATGTTGCATTTGCCAACTCAGGTTTGGGAGGGACGCAGCAGATATTTTTGGTTACGCCTACACACTGCTCAAAACACCACCACCCACTCCTCACTGCTCAGCTGTTTCAGGTCATTCCACAGTAAGGGCCATGTTCCACTCTGGCTTTATCCCATGAGGGACTGTTGTTGCACACATATCCACATGGCTGACTGCTGTGATTTAAAAAGTATATTACAAAAAGGGTGTGGTGTTGTACAAATAATTACACAACTCTTAGTAAGGCAATCATTTGACTCAGAAAACTGTGTCGCAATTTCCAGTTTATTTTGCACATTTCTGGCTGTTCTTTTGTTTGTAAATGGATATTTCTTGTATAATACTTTTTATAATAGTTCTATATTTACTGTGTTTATGTATGCACCGCTGTATACCAAAGCAAATCAGGGTATTTGGCAAAAACCCTTATTTTGATTCTGATAAGCACCAACAAGCCCATAACTGTCAGATTCCTTCCTGCCGTCATATCTAAACTGAGACCAAAATGACAGATATGATAAATGTGTTTCGCCCCTGACATCGCTCACTCAGAGGTGCCTCGAGGGAAGAACTCCTGACTTCTAACAAACAAATTCTCAGCAGCAATGGACTCTTTCTTTGCTTGTCTTTCTCTGTTTTACTCTGCCATTTACTGTCTCTTCAGTAAAATGTCAGACTGTATGTGACTCGCCCACAGGGGCCATAGATGCCATTCAACCAGTGCTCCAAACATTTGCTCACAAGCTTTGAGCGGGGAGGGAAACATCTGACAACATGCACCTCCTAGAGGAGCCACTATCTGCTGTTATCTGGGGGCACACCGACTCCTGCCATACCAATCAGTTATGTCACACATGCAAAACAATGCCAGAAATGCAAATTTAGACAAATGTAAAAAGTCTGCCGGGTAACGTCAACCCACTGAGCTCCTCAGTGATGTGTGGGTTAGCGGATGTTCAAAGCTCTCAAGTGAGGCAATGACTTATCAGCAGAAACACAGGGGAGGCTCAACAACACTGTAGCAGACAGCTCTTAGCCTTATCTTATCGATTAGGATAAAGAGAGCTGACAGCCATGAGTGAAAACAGAGATAATGCCAAGTCATAAAAATGTCAATTGTCAAGGAAGCAAAATCAATTTACACACTTCAGCAAGTGTGAAAAGCTGACAAATCAAGCCTGAATGTAATAAGTCTGGTTTCCAGGTATTAATTGTGATAAAAATGATAAAGGTGTATGTTGTTGGCCCACATAATACAAAAAAAAGCAGCAATTTAAGGTCTGAAATGTATGTCCAAAGGTGTTTCGTATGAGAGCATGGATCTCAAAGTTAATATTAGCGCAGTGCTTATCCACTCTGAGCATCTTCCATGCTCCCACATAGCTTGGCAGGAGGGTTCTGGCTCGCTAAGTGCAGACCACTTTCTTTGGAATATTCTAAGTGAAATGGCTCAGGTGAAGCCAACAATGGAAAATGTCAATGCATTCCATTAGATCAGATTGTGAAGTCTTGCTCTCCTCTTCACTCGGCCGACAGATGACAGGGCTGATATATGCAGCTCTGTTCAGTTGGGCTGGGTGCAGCCTTCACCTAAAATGGCTGGCCATTTAGATGATGGCTACCAAAGAATATCATGAATTGAAAATAAGAAGCACATCTCTCAGACGCAGTAACAACAACACAGAATTTGACCTACAGAATAAGAAGCAAATGGCACACTTCCTCTGAATGTATTACTTGCTTTGTGAACAAACAAAAGCTGAATTTGGAGCAGAGCTTTTACAAGTAAACATTTTTATCACAGTCAGCACAAAGTAGCAATTTATAAAATGGGCTTGTGGGAAGGTTTAGTTATGCCAGATTCCTCCTGTTTCTAAAGACAGTGTCGGCATTGGCTGGCAGCCAATCGGCCACATGGCTAAGCCCTGTCCAGGCAAGACAAAAGAAATTCTTAAATCTTCGCCAGTTCACTAACCCCCCAACCCCCCCGAAAATGTCAATTGTGCTGCTACAACATCATGTCACAGATTTACTCAGGGTAACATCATTAAAAAGGGCTGACTTTGAAATGTAACGCTTGAAAAATATAAATCTGCACAGAGCTTTGAGGTGTGTCATGAGGGACAGTTGGAGGTACAGCAACATATTTCAAACAAACGGCTATACCTAATTAAAGTTAAGAGAATAAGCCAATTGACACACGTGAGAGATCACAGGAAGATGTATGTACTGCCCTTTGATCTGAATTCCTGTCCTCTCACACCTTGCTACCTCCAATTGAAAACGAGAGAAAATCCACGCACAAAAGCCCAGTTATGCATGCATAAACAGGAAAAGAGTACGGAGTTCTCAAATGCATTTAGTAACATTTTTAAGGGTAAAATGTTTCTCAAAAACATTGGTTACACAATTAAAAACAGACTATCATCTTACATTTTAAAACGTATAGGCCAGTCCAATCACATCTCATGCCCCAGTTATGATCTTAAGTATTTTTAAAGTGATTTCCCACATTTAAGCAGTACTTCAGACAAAAAGTGGCATAGATAAAATATGTAGGCCTATAGCTTTACTATAATAGCCAGGCTCGAAGCAAAGAGCAAAAAGGAGTAACAATCTTGATTTGTCAAACAAAAAATCGCTACATAACAGCAACAAGTGGCTTTTTGCTTTTCTACAACACATGTGTGATTTAAATCGGAGAAGTTCATATGTGTTCCTTTGTTAGTTTCATACACAATTTGTCGCCTAAATAGTTGTATCACTTTGCTATTCATCCATTTAACATCAAAGCACCGCTTGGCTAACTTGATATTTTCGGCTCACGTGTTCAAAAAATGAACTGCTACAATCTTACAGGTGTTTATCGCTTCCACCTTCAGGACTGATGGCAGAGGTTAAGGGGTCTTTAATGGTGGGATACTGAAACGAATTGATTAGTCCGCAGGCTGTTGGTGCCCAGCAGCTCAGCTCGGTGCGGTTTGAACGGGTCCACAGCGGCGGGAGGAGGGGGCAGAGGACCCTCGCTGCTCGGCTGGCTGACTCCTCCCGCGGACAGCCTGCTTTATTCCGCCGCAGGAAAAACCGTTATCTCGCATCACTACTTTCTACATCTCTGCCATCACCGCGGCTCCAAACCCCACGTTAAATAGTTAACAACACGGACTACCAAGCTGCCGTATTTAATTGACAAAGTCAAACTTGAGAGGTTAAAACTTTTGAGGACGACGTGGTGGTTTGCCCAGTCTTTGAACATGCCGCTAATTGAAGCTAAACAGTTGTCTCAGTTAGTCATGCTAAGCTAATGTGTGGCTACATCCAGACACTTTACATGAGCCTCACTACTCCCATTAAAACACGAGTGAGAGAAAGCCTCTGATTTAAGCAACAATAGCCGCTTAAAAATATAACTCGTCCCGTAAAAGTGAACGGCCATGTTGACAGTAATATCGTATTAAAAGGGTGACTCTTTCGAATTTTCGTTAATACTATTTTTAACTATATTTACTTAACGTCGAACAAACAGGTCCTGCTGTCAGTTTGAGTTTAACGTTAGTTGCGTCCAGATAGGGTTACTTCTCAGGCTATTTTCTGCCTGTCGCTGGTGGAAAATATCGAGCAAACAGAGCCAGAAGTAAACAACATTTGCCGGACATGTTCCTGGAAGAGTAAATGGTTTAATAAGTTATATAGTTAGCGTGGTTTTTGTACTTACAGTGAGTTGAGAGGAGAGTCAGGAGACAAGCCAGACGTGTTTTCGCCATCTTGGAGTCGATGCAATGCTCGCTTTGACTGGCCGTACATGCGCAAAGTAACCGAAAGAGCTTTGGTGTGGATGGAGAGAGGGAGGGTGGGAGGGAGAGAGACATAGGCAGCGAGTGGGGGGAGGGGGCATTACGATAGGTTTCCATAGCTACCGAAAGCATCACTCACACAGACACGAATTTATAGTTGACACGATGAAGGAGCCTTTTACTACCGTGGCAATATGGAGACGGCTGAGAGCTCAGATAGGAAAACACCAGCTTCTGTGTGCTGGAAGGTGGAAGAAGAGGTGGGAGGAGTACTCAGATCTCGTACTTAAGTAAAATACCAGTGTGTAGGGAATAGGAATACTCAGACTGACACAAGTAAAAGTCCTGCAATCAAAATGTACTTAAGTAAAAGTAGAAAAGTATTCACATCAAAATATACTTAAAGTACTCATTATGCAGATTGGCCCACTGCAGAGTAATATATTATATGTTTTGATTATAATTATTGATGCAACAAAGTGTTATCAAAGCTGGTAAAAGTGCAGCTAACTTTAATTACTTTGTATACTGCAGGACAGCTTGTAAATGTAAGGGTTTATTATATATCACAGCATTAATCTAAATGTGTAAAGTCACTAAAGGTATTAAATATATGTAGTGGACCAAAAGTACACAAAGAAGAAGAAGAAGACAAACTTTATTAATCCCACAAGGCGAAATTCAGTTTCCCCTCTGTTAGGATGTTCAGTATACACACATGCAAACAGGACATAAATAAAGGCAGAAAAACTCACATTGCTAAATGTTAAATGGGAAGGTGTCAATAACGTAACGTCCACACGGTTCTGTCACGTGCTTCAACGGAGACGCTTCCCATTCACTTTGAATGGGGTGACGTCAAGCTTTGCCGAACTGCATTGTGGTTCCGTCGCGTCGCTTTGCCGAACCGCATTGTGGTTCCGTCGCGTCACTTTGCCTCCGTTGCTCGCGCTGAAAGTTGAGAAAAGTTCAACTTTTCAAGCGTAGACGGAAGCGCCAGCTACTCAAATCAAACCGTGTGCTTGTGTGTCCGGGGGCGGGAGATTAATGTGATTGGTTGTTGGTCGCGCGCCAGACATGCCCACCGGCAAGCTTCAACGCGACGGAACCGTGTGGACGCACCGTAAAGGGGCTGCATGTTAGGGGTCCAATGCCTCTGCATGGCCCAGGATGTGCCTCTCCTGCTACACACCAACCCATCTTTTTTTATGGTCCACACTGGCATTCGAACCAATAGGCGCTTTCACACCGGAGTACTTTTCCCCGTACTTTTCCCGTTTAGTTCCGATAGTTCCTGGGATTTTGCGTTCACACCAAAAAGAGAACTTAGTTCATGAGAACTTTTACCCCCTTTTTAGTGCCTGCTAGAGAGGTGGTACTTTCCTGGGGAGAAAAAAGTTCCAATTTCTGATTGGCTGGGCGAATTGCAAACCACGCCCCGTAAAACTCGGAAAAGCTTTTTGAAGCCGCCATTGTTTGCTGGCATTAGCATTATTAGCATTAGCATTAGCCCCGCGCACCAACGGAGAGAGAATAACTTATGGCAACACAAAAAAAAACATGGGAGCGGTGGAGTGATGAGGAGGTGTCGGCGTTCTGGCGATTTACTCGGAAGGCTTCAGTAGAAGCTGCTGGGAGTCCCAGCAGCTTCTACTGAAGCCAGTATACGCTGTGAAGTTGTTTGCGGCCTGCCAGTAAACCCTAAGCAGAAGAAGAAGAAGTGACGTCAGCGGCTTCATTTGCGTAATCTTCCCTCAGGGAACTTATTCCGGTGTGAACGCGATCGGCTCTTAGATCCATGGGGGTACTAAGTGCTGGGAACTAAGTGCTGGGAACTAAGTACGGCAAAGTACTTGGTGTGAAAGCGGCTAATGACTATCTAGTTCCCAAGCAAAGTCCCTACACACTGAGCTACTGCGACCCATTAAAGCCATTAGTTAGACTTCAATAGTGTCACTATCAATCCATCGTTGAACAGTGCGTGACCACTGGTTTATGTCTTTTCATGGAAATAAAAACATGAATCCATAATTATAACTCGTGCCACACATGTTGGGCTATTTGAGCTTCCATAGAATGTATGTAAAGTAAAAAAAGTTGAGCTGGCAGCCTGTGATCAATTGCATACGGCAGGCTTTCAATAAATTATATTCACATGCCATTTTTCACTGACTGTAAATCATAGCCGTCAGGCACTGAAGGCATATGTTGAAACCAGTGACAGGCTCTACAGCCGTATCAGCCTGGAGCTCTCTTACCCTATTCACATGAATCCTGTAAATTCCTGTTTATGTCATAGTGGATATGGCCTGTTCTCCTGTTCATGTGACATGCATTGCTTTGATCAAGAAATATTCCTCTGTTTTAACCTCTTCAAACTGTTTTAAAGTTATAAATGTATGTAGTGCAGAAAGGTATATTGTGACTGCATTTACGAAATAAAATCTGACGTGATTGCAATATGAATACTTTATTAATATGATATTTATGTCTAAAAATAGATCTATGTCTAATTATGCTAGCATGTGTTTTGCATCTATTACGTAAAACACTCAATTCAAGCGAGATTCTAATATGAATCAGGTGCAGTTATTTTAACCGCACTGTTGCCCTGAGGCTCTGCTCTCTAGGTTTCCATTACAAGTCCTTCTGTGGCAGTCTTTTATGTGTCACAATGTTAAGTGTTTATTTGGTGATCTTACATAACAAACAGTAGGTGCTGTTTTTAATACCTTCAGAAATTACCACCAGTTTTTTTTAATATATTTTAAATCATGGCACCTTGATTTTCTATGCGAAGACAAAATGTTATGTTATTATGAAATTACCCCTTCAACAATGTTAATGCAAAGAAACAATATGATCTAAATCTGAACATATAATTACTTGATGAATTTAACAAGTGGATGTTTATTGCGAGGTGTAGGCCTACATTTCTTATGAACAAAATTACACAAAACTGTAACATTACTTATGTGTCATGGACTATTGTAAGTAGATCCTCAGGTGTTTGTAAAAACACAGATTAATTCAAGACTAATATAAGACAGGTCAGAAAACAAGCTTGGATCAAATGGGTTACAGATGTTTTCATTTATTTATATCTAAGCTTGATTTTATTCCTTGCTACAACATTTCGAAAAAAACTCAATCAACTTAACAAATAATTATTATCTCTTGTTCACACAACATCTTGCAGTTGTTATATTAACAACCCCAACCTATAGCAACATTGTTTTCGCACACCATTTATTGAATGTTAACACAAGTTGAATTCAAAATCCACCTACAGTATGGAAACATGGTTGGCTGATCTGATTTCTTACCATAACTATGTTTTCTTTAAGGACCCTAGCAATGACTTTTTATGCTAGGACATATTAATACCTCTACTTTAAACATGTATTTATATCATATAAGCAATGTAAAAGAGTAATACGCAAGGAGAAAGTGGAGTTTAACTTTAGTTACATGTGTTTTCCATATTGGATTTAGCAAAGACCTGTTCTGATCTTTATTTAAGAATTGTTTAAAATACACATACTTCCTCAGTGTGACATTGTCCCAACTGTCATTGTTCCTAATAAACATGTTCAATTGTTCCCTGGAACACTTTACTCTGTTGGGCTGGTTATCTTTACTTTGAGTGCTCTTGTCGGGAACACTTGGTGGTGAATAACTGTACATGATCATAGAAGTGTTTTTCTCTCTTGGTCTAACAGAATAACACCAAAGGGCTTTCACGTACTCTGCTCCCACTGCCCATGGGGGATGATGTAAAACTGAAACTGTCAGTTTAGAATTATAATGAAGGATTTAAAGCCATATTTCTTTTGGATAAAATATATTTCAGCTTGTTGCATTACTGCTCACATCTTTTAGTTTGACCTACAATTAATATCACTTTAATTGTGTTCTTGCTTGTGAATACTTCCTGGTTGTTGAATAAACCCTAGCAAAGTTACATTCTTTATTAAGTGACACACAAACTTAAATATACACTGAATGTATTTCATCACGTTTTCTTTTTGAAAAGCCTTTTTTCTATTTTTACTCCACCCATTAAGCCGTTGGTGGTGGGAGTGACTGTGCAGAGACATCATTCATGGATCAAGCAGCCAGATGGTAGTATCTAATATCATCCCATTGGACCTGAAATTCCAGCCTCAGTCTTTTATTACTGTCATTCCAAGTTAAGCCTGCACTGTGGCCCAGGCAGTACCTTCAGTATGACCAAATTACAATTTAATTCAGTATACAATGAGTGCAGTATTTCGACAGTTGCATTGTACAGCTCATCAGACGTTATTCTTTTATATAAAAAAAGATCTTACTGCAAAAAATGATCAGCTTGAGCTTGCTATTCAGGATTACTGCGATCACCGCTGTTGGATGGAGGAATTAGATAAGTATGCAGCAAAATTAATAAAACATACGTTTATAAATTGACAATGAAAATAAGATGATCATATCCTGTACTGTAGGTAACACCCTTGAACAATTTTCCCACTCTTTAGGATATTTAGAAAACTAATACTATCCAGAGCTTTACATTTTCCTTATTCTTCCCTCATGAGTGTAGATCATTATTTCATATGTTGACAAGATTGTTCTGCTTCCCACACACTCTTCAATACACCCTAATTGGATTGTGTGTTACATCCTGCAGCCGTGTGAAATGTCATATGTGCCTGACATACACTCCAACCTGGAAGATAATATGTTAAAGTACAGACACACACTCTCCTGAATACTCTCTTCACTGAGAGAGAACAATCAAATCTTCCATTCAAATTAGAATAACTTGGTAAAAACCGTAGTTATAAAAACATGTATAGACTATTCGGTACCACTTTACAATAAGACTACCCTTATAAAGGATTCATAAAGGGTTTATAATTAGGTTATTAATTAGGTTGTAAACACTTTATTAATCATTAAGAACCATTTATAAACCAGTTCTAACGTAGGCTCACTATTTGGCAAGATGACTAAGCCTTATATTGGCTACCTAGCTTACTTCGTCTTCTTCATCAGCCAACATAGGGGACACAGATTTTAGTAAAAACAATTCACATGAGGATCTGGGCTTGTAACTCAAGACTCTATAGAAATAGTTTGAACTGTACAAT